CCTCCTCCCCCCCCCCGCTGTCCCAGCCCCTTCTCTCCAGCTCTCCTCAGCCCACTGACAGCACAGGCCCAGCAGCCTGCATGCTGCTGTAGGGTGGGATTTCCAACACCAGGGAAAGAATTCAGCGTACAAGACCAAATTAGGGCATGCATTTTATAATCTTAGCTAGTGACATGCTATACGACCTTGGGTAAGTCCCTCCATCCTTCTTTAAAGATGCTCTCAGAGGAGTGCCGTGACACCCTAATTAGCAGCCCAGGAAGCACTTGAGATAGTTTGTCTCCCTTCCAAAATACCCAACTGCAGATCAACTAGGACAATCTTAGCTTTGAATTCTGCAAGCAACTGGGATCCAAGCTGCTCTCAGATCAGCCACTTAAACAACACAATCAAAGTTAAATGTGCCAGCTGTGCACAAAGGATTGTAATATGCTGCACAGACTGGAAAATAGCTTCAAGAACTGATGTTATTTTTCCATGGCTGGGATGCCACTGTCGAGCAGCTGCATTATAATAGTCTGCAATCAGCAAAAATTTTAGCACTTTTTAGTCCTGGGGAGGAAGGCTCACTGTTATTTCTGTCCAACTTACAAAAGCAGCCTTGATTCCTGAGGCACCCCTTACCAAGAACCGCTGCAGCAAGAGAAACTGACAAAAAGCCTTCAATGTCCCGAGCTCAGAGCTCAATTACACCAACCATTTCCTACGTGAAACAAGTTGTGCACGCAGTACCTGCTCACACCACTACCACCATTTCAAGAAATAGCATCTGCCTTTCCACACTCCTGCTGCCCACTGCCAAACAGCCAGCGTGCTGTCAGTGCACCCAACCACTGCACCCATCCAGGCCCATGCAGTGGGATGGCTGCAGGGCACGGTTCTTCCTCTGCACAGCAGCAAGAGGGAAAGCCTTCCGACTGCATTGCTCCTAAAGGATGGAAGGTCTCTCTGATATGTTCTACAAATCAAATATTGACAAATAGAATGTAAAATTAAAATACGCACGCACTCTGAGAAAATGACAAAAACCAGGCAGGCCGTGCAGAACAAGCTTTGCCCTTTTGGCTACAGAAACACTCTGAGCCTCTCCTCCTTTTCACTGTCCTGCAAGCATTTTACAAACAGGCACAGCACACAGATGCCTCGCCAACAGCTTTGTCCTGCTCAGCATGGCCAGGGCAGCACAGGTACCCAGAAACTTGCCAGAGGTGCACTGTATTTTCAGGGACATCACACAGTGCTGCCTGCATTAGAGGAGTGGCAGTGACTGAGATGACAGCAAAAATGCCAAGGGTTTGGCTACTTCCACTGCAGCTGGAGCTGATCCTAGAATCAAAAATAACTGTGAAGCTCCCATTGCAGAAGATAAAAGAGATAAAACTTCCCCCAGCTCTCAGAAAACAGATCTGCAGCAAAAATCCGATTGGGGGGTTTCCATTCTGCTGTGTTTCCCAGACCAAGCTGTTCTTCTCAGCTTAACCAGAAACTGTACGCGAGCTTTGGTCCAAGTTCAAAAACAAAGACGCCGGCTTCTTTATCAGCTCCCCAATTCATGTTAAAGGCTCCTTTTCTTGACACGGTATCAGCAGTCTCCATTCCAGGAAAACCCACGTGGCTGCCAGTCCAGGGCAGCCATACACAGTGATGTTGTTTCACCACATCTGAAACACTGAGCCGACTGCAAGGTTGTACAACAGTTTAACCTCTTCCTCAGCATTTCTTCCCCCTTTTTCTGAACTCTCAACAATCAGCTGCTGAAGTCACCACATCTGCACCCCCAGCCCTGAGAACAGTCTCATAGGCTTCTTCAATAAGGTTCTGAAGCAGAAAACAGATGAAACGAAACTGGCTTTTACAGCATCCAAGAGGCAGCTGCCGTTCCCACCAACTCTCTCAAACCCTGCACTCGCACTCCCTGATGGACAACAGGGTTCCTGCAGAACTCCACGCTGCGTCAGCCACTACCGAGAGCCAGTTGCAAGCACTATCAACACAGGAGAGAGAAAAGCACCAACACTGAAGCCAAGCCAGCAGGCCGCCTCCACGGATGAAGTAATGTGCTGATTTGCAGCTGGACTGGGATGGCCCAGTAAATCAGACACACTTGGTAGCTTTGGTTTAGTCTTCCCCACCTGAAATCTCACTGTAAGTAAGGCACTCAAAAAGCTGATCACAGCATTGACAACCATTCCTGTAGGCCACAAGCTTTTGCTAAATCCCAAAGCATTCTCCTTCTCCCGTTTCTTCCTTTTCCACTTGACAGACTTCAGAGCTTGTTTTTGCAGACCTGAAAGTTGTAGCTCCATTTAAATCCAGTGACTAACATCCTTCAGATCTCTGCCAAATGCTGTTTTTGCCAGATTTGAGGTGTCTTTGGCCTCATTTTCAGCTTAACTAGGTTGCATATTCTTCAGGACAAGTGCTACAGAGCCCATTTGCTAAAGGTGTGATATTGCCATGCTGGCTGTTATGAAACACTCCAGCTTTACAAACTGTTTGTTTCCATTAGGCAATCCATTTTCACTCTTATTTTTTCCATCAGAAGCTTCTTAGCAGATATTAAAGAAACAAAACTTAATGCACTACATCACTGCCATTTCAGCCAGCCAGCTCAGAGGCAGGACCCAGAGAAAACTACAGAACAAAAATGTTACGGGAAAATTACTTTTTCCTGTAATGGGAGACATGAAACCTCTTAACCATTGCAAAGCCAAGCATAGCTGAGCAACAGCCTCTCCAGCTGTTATTTCAGAAGATGACAGTTGCTTTCTGATGTTGGCTAGGCCTGGGGAAGAATACATCCCTGCACATCATAAACGCACAGCACGCAAACTGGAAACAGGAGCACCAAAGAGACATCAGCAAGTGGGCCTGAGAGCAGCAAGTCTGCAGGCTCACTTCAGGAAAGAGAAAAGCTTCTTGTTTGTAAGAGAAGAATGAAGACAATAAGCACTGAGGATGCCCAATCAGGGTCAACAGAAAAAGCAGAACACATACAGATATCTGGACACCAGGGCACCACACTTTTCCACCTTTAGCAGGAAGATACACTGTTAACTTGGACTGTTAAATGATGCTCCTTATGGAAAACACAGCAAGCTACAGTTGTGTTTTTTTTCCCCTAACATTTCACTTTAGATGTGCTGCATTATTCCAATCTTGTACAAGGGCTCAACAAACTCAAGTACAAACAAAGCACACGCAGCTTTCCAAATTCCATCCACAGACACATTTCCACTGCCCAGCCTGTGCCCGTTTCCTCATCCCATGGAACACTCCTGCTGCTCAGAAGCTGACCAGATGCACTCAGTAGCACTGCTGCAGGGGTCCCGGTCTCCACGCACAAGAAGGAAGGTCTGACACCAGCACAACCCTTCCTGGCTGTCCTGGTTGCACATCAAAGTGAACTGTGCTATTTGAAAGCCATGGCTGTATTTTTTTCAATGCATTTGCCACCCACGTCAAACAAGGTTGTTTGTTTTACAAAGGATTCTGTTAATATTCTCCTTAACACAAGTCTGAGAACATCCACTGGCTTCCTAAGCAAACAATGTTCATTATGTGCTCCACTTGGGATGTAGGACCGTGTGCATCCAGACTTTTCTTCATCTTCTCATTGAACAATCTGAAGATGGTATGTCTTCTTTCTTTCTTATGAAGATTCATGTCCAGTTCAGTGTAAAGCTGCTTCTCCTCTGATGTTCTTCCCCAGATTCATTTTATTCCTGTGCATTTTCTGATATACAGGTTTCCAAACAAGGCCACCATCTCCCTACACCTGATTTGGCAGCCAACTGTATCACATCAAAAGATTATGTTCAGATACTACACAAACAAGGTCACTAGCTAAAAACTCAGCCTCTGCACAGGCACACCGTGATCAAGTAGCTCTCCTGGAATCAGTAAAGAAAATTAAGTAAGAATTGACTGGAAGAAGCCCATCTCCTCTTACCACCTACTATTAAAAAACAGCGTAATCACAAGCAATTCGACGCACTATGCATTTTAAAACCATGTACAGGCAGTACATGTGACCTACTGTCAATCAATTCCATCTCAAGAACCCAACATTTGGCATGCAAGGTCCATTCTGGTGACATACGACCTCCACATAACGATTCTGAAGAGCCGAATCCCAATCTGTATCACTTATCTCCGAGGTAGGACTGTATCTTTTAAAAATATGTTCAACTGTACAGATAAGTAACAGCTAAGAGTTTACAGTCACTTCTTTCCCTGTATCACTTCATCCACATAACATTAAAACAGAGAGTTGCTGCTGCTGGAATTTATTTTGTTTCTGAATTTCACTGGTGTAATTCCAACAGTCAAACTACCACTTCCAGAAGGTGCTTCAGAGAACAAGGAAAACACATCTCACAGGCTGGCTAGTCCTGAAAACACCAGTAGGAACAGAAGTCCAGGTCACCAACTCTGATCAGTTTCCCTGCCTCTCGTGCTGGCTGGTCAAATAGAATCCTTAGGATGTTCACAGTACTTCATAAAGAGCTCATTCACATGAGCACAACTTCATCCTGTCGTTTAAAACAAAGCTGTTAAAGGATCAGAGGATGTTTTTATACGTGAACAACTGAAAATACAGAATTATCTGAAGAGCCACCTACTACTGGCATCTTATTGGGACTGTTAAAAGGAAGAATTGAATTACATGCAGGTGCTTCAGTCTTCTTTGCATGTTCTGTGAATATAAAATTGCCTTTTGACAAAAGAGGAATAGAGGAGAGGATACCAACTCAGGTAACCACGGATTTGGTCAGACGGAACTCAGTGAGTGAAAACGTGCACCCTGCACAAGCTGAACTGACTGATGGGGCAAGGCACCCCAGGGCTCGTGCCATAGCAAGATGAATACAAACACGACCATAAGCTGAGTTTGAGGGCGTGCAGACCAGAATTACAAAAACATCAGCAGCCTGCTGCTGACAGACAACTGGTGGAACTCAATGCTGCCCGCTACAGACTCCTCAGATCAGCACGTCTTAAAAATTAATAAAATGGTTTATTTTATATATACATTATGTTCCAAAAAAATTTATACAGTTAAAATATCAAATTAGTGATCTGGTAACAATACTGTTCAAAATAATCTCTTTTGTATGAACATTAAAATACACGTTTTTAAAAGCGTTTCCTTTTAGTGCTTCCAAAGCACAGCGTGTGCCAAGGCCACCTGAAGAATCTCCGTCCTCCTCACAGGATGAAAGAGAACTGAAGTCGGGGACCTGGGAAGCCTCAGGTGCACTTTCATAATGTCTGCAGACAAAACAGAAGAGAGTCTGAGGTAGATTGTTTAGTGACCATCAGGTGGTAACAGTCACAGGGCTGTCTTTAGCTTTCATTAACACAATAGCAGTTTCTTTACTCTCAATCTACACTGAATCTCAAGTTTAAAGGCATGGCTAGTAGTTCTCAGGAACAAGACCCTTGTCTCTGTGGTGGCAACATGCAATATTACCAGTGCAGGTGTTTCTGGGAGGGTTTTTTTTTTTGGGGAACACATGGGATCTCTCTCCACGATGCAGACAGTGTGTGCATTTGACAGTGCCCCATTTAGTGCAACCTGCTGCCTATAGCACGTAAATGTCTAATGACAGTGTTCAAATGAGTAAATTCTCATCACCTGCAGGAGGGGCAGCAATGGTTATTTTCTTCAGCCTGTCGAGCAAATAGCACCCTCCACAGGAAAAAAGCCACACCTTTCATAGCAAATCCTTAAGGTTATAGCCCAGCTCCTGCCGATAGAGGTTTGTAAAGTTAAAGCTCCACTGCTTCTTCTCAGACTCTGACAGTAAAATCAGTTGACTGCCAAGATGGTGACGGCAACAGCTGCATTCTCTTCCACTCTTCCGCGGCACAGCAAACTCATTCCTGGTCCGTATTCGTCTGGCTGGTAAACTATTATCTACTGTTGACATGATTAACTCTGTTGGGTAGGCTGTTGAACTCTAGTTCCTCTAGTATTCTCTCTAAGTGTTGTATTAAGACACGTTTTTTAAACCTAAGGAAGAGAAAGAAGGTTATTCATTTATTTATTTCCCAAAAAACAACAGTTTGACAACCCAGTATCATTTAGCTATGACAAACACTACTACCAGAGCCTCTGTTACCAGCATAGAAGAGCTTCCTTTATTTCAGGATTGGACTGGCAAATGTGATTTAGTACAGCCACCATTCCCAACTCAGACAAATTCTGAGTTTTTCTTCCAACAACCACCATCTTTCTATTCTACATTTTCTTCACCTAATGGCCATTTACTCCAGGAAATGTAAGGGCAGACTGAGAGCTAGAACAACTATGCTAACTGAAATACGTCAGAATAGGAAAACAAAGTAGCAGTACTGAAAAATTTTTATATTTTATTAACATAATCAAAAGTAACCATTTATGACCGAGTCATTTTTACCCATACAAACCTTGCTGCTTCCTTGATAGCAAATTCAATGAAATACTTCTGGATTTCCATAGGTCCTTGTACCTCTTCAAGAAGAGAGAAGATTTTTTCATAATCTAAAAAAAGAAAAAAAAAAAAATTCAAACAGTTTAGAAATACATCTTTCAAATACAGATTCAATAACTCTCAACAGTCGAAGCAACAAAGCCCAGAGCTCCACACTTCAGCAGACATGCTGGACAAAAAAAAATATCCAGCGTTAGCTTTGTGCACAAGAAAGCAGTGATACAAATAATCTGAAGCAATACTGATGATCTGGTATCCAAATGTGTCACTGAAGAATTAGGTTCTCTTAAGTGAGCAACAGCTGGAAACATCAGCCCTTGGACAAATGCAGGCGAGGTCTGAGCAGCAGAGAAGATCACCGTGGATGCAGCGCCAGCACCAGCAGATGATAGGAGCAAAGAGGCAACCCCTCTTTCATGCCTCCCTGAACACTGCAGCAAGGCATGCCACAAGAACTGATCTGCCACAGTGATTATGTCTCAGTCAAATGCTAAGCTTTGGGAAAGCAACAGAAGATCAGAAAAAGTTAAGAATAAATAGTCCATCTGATTACCAGCTCTTGACAACGTATTAGAAAAATGCTCAGTAGTTTACATTGTAGAAATAACTCACTTGGATACAGACTACATTGAGTTCATCCACAGTTTAAGAAGAATTGAAAGATTATGCCTATGGTAAGTCCTACAGCATACACATTAGCTGGAGTTACTCTATACGTAACAAAAGCCAAGGTGCCAAGTTACTTTTTCTGACAACAATTCAGATTTTGGGGAATTATTAAACCTTACAAGAAAATAGGGAACAAATGAATTTTAATCTTCAGTTCTCATGGGCTCACAACAGCATTCCATCATTAATTAGACTCTTTCTCAAAATAATAAGATATTATTGTGCTGCTAACTGCAATATTCCCTTTCCATCAACCACATTTCAAGGTGTACGAGCCCTCATAGCTACAT